CCGATAACGTACGCTGACTTGACTAATCCACGGCCCAACGGTGCCACATTTCGTGTGATCGAGTGTCGTAGAAAAGGCCAAGCGCTAGCGCCTTGGCCTTGGCGATGACCACTTCCCCGCCGTTCCACACGCAAAGGCGGCATGGTAACCGCGAATGCGGCAGCTGCTCAGCACGTACCAAGCCCCGTCAAGGGACGGAGTCCAGGCCGGTGAATTCCGCATGAATAAGGAGGAGGTAATTACCCACCACGCGGGCCGTAACGTGACAGCCACATACAACCCTCTGTTAGTCAATCGGGTAGTTCCCGATACCGCCGGAGCGACTCCCCACTTCCTGGCGGATTTGGAAGGCGTTACAATGAAACGGTGGTGACCTAGCGGAATTGCGAAGCGACCAATCAACGTACCCGATTCTCGCAGAAACAGCCCGAGGCCTAGGCCTGGCTCGAGGATCACAGCCACAGCTCACTTACTGCATGCGGGGACGCAGGTAACCACCATCACCCGCTCTATTCCAAGGCCTTGCAACGCGGCTCTGCTTCAAGCAATCGTCTCTACTGGACAAATTCTTACACTCCTCCTATCGGCAGCGTGCACACCTTGCCCCGTGCAGCATTGACATTCCATCATCCGCCTCGGTTTGCTTGCGACTGGATGCACAAACCAGAATCACAATTGGGTTTGGCGAAAGACCTATCCCCGATTCTCGCACATGTAGGATGCTTATTAGGCGGGATCAGTAGAGATGCTGTTCGCTCCGAAGCGGTTTCTTAACAATGTTGACGGCCCTCGTGCGTCCCACGGTAGTCAGAATACCTGGAAACGGCTGTCATGAGCGCTGCGAAGCCTTGATGTTGCAAGAGTATGCTCTTCCAGGGATCTGGGCCCGCCTTCAAAAGGCACCCATCCGGAGTTTGGGATATGGGACCGAAGTGACCAGAATGGCGAAAGCACCTGCTGTACCTCAACAACTAGCTTTCGCTGAGCAGGTCAGCGCGACCGGAGCCGTTCTCGACTCACTGTTTCATCGGGCTTGTCAACCCTCAACAGCCGGTATTGCCGTAAGCCTCACATTCGTTATGTTTACTGTACGAGGAAACACCTGTCACAGTGCACTGTCATGCGTATAGCTCGGGAGATGCGTCACTATGGGAGGCATGTCGCGTGTTCTCTTGTTCTTTCTTTTGGACCAACTTGCCTCTGTCACGCCGCCCAGGATGTTTGATGGCTTCCTACATTCAGAGGCATAATCAACATCAGCCTCACACAAACGCTTATTGGCCAAGGACGTCTTGCCTGCTACAATGCGGGCAAACAGCGCTTCGCCCCGAGGCACAGCGCAACCAAGTAAGGCGCTCTAAACGGCTGTCACATGCTCAGCAGTGCCCCGCACAACGTACTAAAGACATCAACCAAAGCATTACATAGGTTGAGCTGAGGAGGTACATGTGCCAGGGCACGTATGCCGTGATGACGTCTGGCAATCATGAAACGCGAAGAAAGCTTGAAACCTCTGACTTCGCTTTCTTAGCGCGACGTCCTCTTGGTAGACGTTTTCCTGACCTCAACTGACTGGTTGGACACAAGACCCTTTCTGTCAGGCATCAATCTCAATGAAGCTCCTCGTGCGGGTTAGCTGTCAGCTTTTGATCAGCAGGAGTGGAAACTTCCCACACTTGATAATTCTCGCCCCTTCAAGTCTTTCATTCTTTTACGTTTAACGTCTCACTGTAATCATCCTGATGTCGCTCTACTGAGATACACATTTTGCCCACGAGATCACAGCACTAAATATGGCACTTGAAAGCTTAGCGGATCAGGTCCAAAACTTGAACCTACAAGAGGCGGAATGTCTCCCGTTTCATCCTACCGAGGACACGCAGCGGACTCTAGAGACACTGGACGACACACCACGCTATCTATTCCGAGTATTCACTCCGCTATCTTATGGAGCAACCGACCAAAACTGGGCAAAGTCCATGGATGCCAGAAATGCGACAACGGACTGCAAAACAGATATCTTCACTAGGGTCGACAAGCACAAAGTCGCACGCATGATCGACAGGCATCTACGATGGCAGGAAGGTCGAAGCGATAACCTGGTATCCTGGACGACCTCGTTGCTGTTTGCACTTGTGTATGTATTCCACCTGCGTGCCAATACAAGAAACAGATCGACGTTCTCCGACATCCAGCTTTGCATTTTGGATACTACTTGCTTTCCTAAGAGAGTTTTTCTTCGAGACATGGCCCTCGTCCGGGCATATAAACCATTCCACTCAAAACTCGAGGATTTTGAGGTTCTACGGTCAAAAAAACATCAGTCTTTGTCCGGAAGTTTCTATTTTGGAGAATATTTGTCGCAGGGAGCCCTCAAGATCAAGGACAAATGCCAAGTCGTTTCTGCTCAGGCAATCCTTGACCAAGGCCTTTACAGCCTACTCCCAGAATTTGAAATTTTTGCGCATTGGAAAGCACAACCACGACCACCCTGGGCGAACCAAGTCATTGAACTTCGTGAGAAAATTTATTTCAACGTAGTAGGTTGGCAGGCGATGAGGGATGATGGACTCCAGGCGGCCGTCAATATTAGCAAGCTCTTCGAGCAGCGTTGGAGAATGCCCATGGTAATCAACCTCATTGCGATTTTACCGCACCAAAGCGATGCTACCGATATTGTATTGTTATCGAGGAACTTCACAGGTATGCCTCCTACCGTGAAGATAATGCTAAACTGACATATCAAGATGATGAGAGAAGCAACTGCTCACCATTGAAGACGAATGTGGGGGCAAGCGAACTGTTGCCCGAGTTGCAAGAATGCAGCACGATAATGCGGAGCGTATATAGGGACTACTGCGTGCAAAAGCTTCAAGGAAAGTCACCTGGCCTAGAAAACGGAGACATTGGTTAACTCAGAGCTCTGTAGGCTTTGTTAGTAATGCTGAAGCTGCACTTGGCCACGCGGTCTTCTTCCAAACGAGTGAACACCTGACAGCAGATGACCTCACGTCTTCCAATCAAGACACATCCTTAGCTGATGCTAAATATGATGATGTGCTGCGAAGGCTGAGCATCATCGACCATCTCTGCCAATCCTTACGTGCAGAACTAGAAACCAAGTAGAATTCCAGGGCCTCAGTAAGGCTAAAGGGTTGATTGCATGACCTGGTACGTTGCGTTAACTTGTGAGCTTCATGGTCAGATAGAAGAGCGGCGCCAAATGGAGTAAGATGGATGAAGGCTGAAGCTGTGTAGAATTATATTTCACTTAGCTGTCGTGAAGACTGGACTAGCTGTCTGGTCTGCGGTTTGCTCAGCCTACCGTCACCGACCTCTATTTTCTCTGCGTAACGGCAGAGCCGGTCTGTTTTCTCGTCAACACATTCCTGACCTTGTCTCTTGAACACAAGCCATCCACCGGCCGCGTCGTTGTACTCGTCGAAACTCACAAGCGCATGAAGGATTCTGAGGAAGGTCAGATCTCGATCAGCTGTCTTCTTGAGTTCACCCGCATTCAGTCATCTAGGCATCCGCGTCCTCATTTCGACCCAAGAATCTACAGATTCCGCAAAACTCCTCGATCCCTATTACATGACGGCCATGTATCGGTTTACCTCTGTCGACTGACTGCGCAACTGGAAACCAACTTGTCGGGAATATCATTGATGCTATTTCCGGTGGCTGATGAAGAGGGTCAGATCCAGGCTATGGGTTATGCAGGTGTTCTCCCCGGTGTTTTCTTCTTCTCCTTTTTTTGTTCCCTTTCTTTTTCTGGCTACATACAGAGTAAGCTTGTGTCTACGCACTGAAGCGTCCTATTGAGTTAAACTCTTTTGGTTCTCCGGGCGTGCACGGACCCCTTCGGCAGTGTGACAATCAAGATCACATTGAATACGGGCAGGTGGCAATGAAGCGGACTATGTGCGAAAAAAGGGGCACCTCTCCCACAGGAAAGAGCCTTGTGAGGGCTGCAAGAAAGGCTGTTGTAGAGAAGGCTTTGGTGATCTCGATCTCTACTGAGTTAAGACATTTCAAATGTGATTTCGACCTGGGGAGGTCTCCAAGTAGAGACCGTTGCAGCTTAGCCTTGTAATACTGAAGGCGTATCCAAGTTCGGCTTTGCGACGCAGTCGACTACAACAGAGGGGCGTGTCTATCTTCAACTCCTCTCATCTACGAATACGTCAAAGCTTGCGTTTGGGCTTGACGGATCGCGGTGGAAGCTTATCGGAACTGCGGGAGGTGTGATACGTTGGCAGAAGGTGAACGGTGGGTCCAACCCCAGCGTCAACAGCAGATGAACGACGCTGAGTGCAGACAACGGCAGCACGACGTGTTCGTACGCAATGACTAGCAACACGTTATCCTGGAAAGAGGCACCACTCGAGACCCTCCAGTGTGCTCTGGCAGCACGATCGGCCTC